TTGGGCTCTCTGCTCAGCAGGGAGCCTGCTTCCTCCTCTCTCTCTCTCTGCCTGCCTCTCTGCCTACTCGTGTTCTCTGTCAAATAAATAAAATCTTAAAAAAAATTTAAAAAATAAAAAACCTTCCATCTATTATCACCATATTTTCATAAAAGAAAAGAACATCTTAACCCTGAACATTTAGCAAGGTCATGATCTTAAATAAAAGAAAATTTATTAGGGACACCTGAGTGTCTCACTTGATTGATTGAGCGTTCAACTCTTGATCTCAGCTCAGGTCTTGATCTCAGGATACTTACTGAGTTCAAGCCCCATGTTGGGTTCCATGCTGGAACTTGTATATTTGCTAAGTGTTTTTTTCTTTTATGTGCAAGTCTCCATGCTAGATGGTTTCTCTCATCTAATAATCAACAGTCCAGTGAGACGGGTAATATTATTGTTCTCATTTGTAAGTGAGTGAACTAAGACTTAGAGTTTTTAAGTAACTTTGTCGAAACATTATTAGATAAATATGGCGCCAGAATTCAAACCCATGGTGTCTGGCTGCTAAGCTTTCCCTCTTCACACAGATCATTTTCTTGACATAGGACCCGAGTATCCACATAATTTATATTTATATTATTGCTCCCCAGCAGCAGCCAGGGTTGAGAGACACTACTTTCTAACATAACACATTGTGAAAACACTGACCAATAAACAAATCTTAGAGTTTATCCTCTATCTCAATTATTTTTATCTGACTTGTATATTTATGGAGAGGAAGGTTTGCCATTGATAAACCATCATGAGTGGCTTCACTTTAAGCTTCTAAGTCACTTAAGTTGATAAATATGCTAAGAACTTTCCATTTGTATGAGTCAAAGATTTCTCTCTCCCAGGAAAAATCAAAGACAGAAACAAATTAGATGCCGATGATGATATGACTTCACAGGAGAACCAGCCTCAACCAAGTTAAAATGTTGGAGTAGTGTAAATTCACTGGGAGCTTAAAGACTTGGCAAAGGGGTTTTAGGAGGAGAAGGAATATGGAAAAGAAGGTCAGGACTTGTCAAAAATAAATTTATTTTCTTTGAATACTTTTTACTGCTGGCCATATACTCAATAACCTGTATTGAAACACTTTGGAAAATGCATATATACCTTATCTGAAAAAATACTTCAATCTGATTCTTACATCATCTAGATTATTTCAATGCAGCATACAAAATATCTCTCTGGAGAGTTGTTTTGTTAGTACATTTTATAGTCTGTTAGACTTAAAAACAAATCATTCTTCATATATCTACACATTGAAGTTAAAGTACAAGCTCTTGTTGACAATGTACAACTAAACAGAAACTGTGACTCACCAGAATCTACAATGGATCAGAGTTCATATGGTTTGCCTTATGCTTTTGACAAGAATTTATGACTCTTTAAAGACTGGATTATTGAGTTCAAGAGCGCAGTTAAAAATGGGGATGGACCTTCCAGTTTACTGATGTCTTAAGATGGCTTTATAATTATTATTAATAAGTCAGTTCCAACAAACTTCTTTGCTAATGCATCTATTTTTATCTCTTCCTGAGTGGTATTTTATACAAATCTGTCTCTTTGAGAGGGAGCAAGTGGAAAATGAGACTGTTTTGATTGGAAATTGTCTGGATTTGGTAAAGAATGTCATGTCATTGCAATCACTTTCTTGGCATTTACCATAATACAGTGTATTAAGTTAAGGTCATTTCCATGGATTCAACTAAAAATTATTCTCAAAGAGAATTTATTAGAATACTATCTAGGGGGATGCCTGGCTGGCTCAGTGGGTTAAGCTGCTGCCTTCGGCTCAGGTCATGATCCCAGGGTCCTGGGATCAAGTCCCGCATCAGGGTCCTTGCTCGGCAGGGAACCTGCTTCTCTCACTACCTCTGCCTGCCTCTCTGCCTGCTTGTGTGTACTCGCTTGCTCTCTCTCTCTCTCTGGCAAATAAATAAAATCTTAAAAAAAAAATATTATCTAGGATTCATGGAATACCTGAGAGACTGGAGAACTTAGCTTGGAAATGGACAGACCATGAAGCAGCCCTGGAATCTGGTAAGCATGAACCCCAATAACACCAAGAGCAGTCTGGTCATGACCTTACCACATGGATGGAATGGAACTCCACATGTCTTCATTGTTTTCTGCTAATGATTCTGCTAAAGATCACTGTCTTTCCCCTCTGCTAAAGATTCAAATTCTGAAGAAAAACTTTCTGGAAATGTTAGCATGGCTTACCTACCTGTCTATTTAGTTAAGGGGAAAAGCAGGGGTCTATCTTCTCACTACAGTTCCAATAGGCTATGCCCATTCAGAGTGGAAAATTTCTCAAAGGCTAATTGGATGCCAGTTGGGAAGTGAACTCTGGACAACCAAAAGGGAAAAATATTTTGTGCATGAGGGGATGGAAGTTAGAGCAAAGCTGGGAATATAGAAAGACAAAGTGAGCCTGTCTTTTTATTGTGCTAAGAAAGTGGGTTATGGCTTATCTCTTATTGTGAGTATTAAAAACAGAAGTTAACAAAAAAGGTAGGCTATAGGGCTGCAGTATTGAGTAAAAAAAGGTAAAATTATATGAGTCATGAACTTATCCCAAGAAAAATGTGGAATCAATAGTAAAACCTGAAAAGTAATTTAAAATAGATGTAAGGGACGCCTGGGTCGCTCAGTGGGTTGGGCCTCTGCCTTGGGCTCGGGTCATGATCTCAGGGTCCTGGGATCGAGTCCCGCATCAGGCTCTCTGCTCGGCGGGGAGCCTGCTTCCTCCTCTCTCTCTGCCTGCTCTCTGCCTACTTGTGATCTCTCTCTGTCAAATAAATAAATAAAATCTTTAAAATAAAATAAAATAGATGTAAGACAAGGATGACTCTTATCACCACTATCAATATTGTTCTAGAAATTCTGACTAATACAGTACAGCAGAAAATATAAATAAGAATCAATTATTGGAAAGGAGATAAAACTTAGCATTGTTTGAGGAAAATATAACTACGTGGAATGAAAGTCCAAACAAATCAACTGGAGAGCTAAAATAAATTTTATTGTATGCCAGCAATAATGGTTACATAGAAAATATAGTGTTTTTAAAAGATTTACTCACAATAGATAAAACACATGTACACAAAAGAACAGAATGTCTGCGAATAATTTTGAGAGGAACATGTGGGAGCAAATGAAGAACACCACAGAAACTTGCTGTAAGGTACAGAAAGCTGTCTAAATACTTATTGATTTATTTGAGAGAGTGAGCAAACAAGAGAGCATGAACAGGGGGAGGAGCAGAGGGAGAGGGAGAAGCAGACTCCCAGCTGAGCAGGGAGCCCAACATGGGGGTCTCAATCCCAGGACTCTGGGATCATGACTTGAGCCTAAGTCAAATGCTTAACCAACTGGGCCACCCAGGCACCCCTTTTGTTCATTTTTTAAAATCTGACAAAGTGATCTCATGGGTGAAAAAAAGTCAAGGTAGTTTTTGACACGAGGAGTAATTAGCAACAATTTGTCTTACTTTAAATTAAATGAAAAAGTAAATGTCCCAGAACAAAAATCTAGTCCAATAGTTAAAACATTATACACAGTCCTGAAACAGACTGTGAGCAATGGAAGGATTTAACATATCCTCAGAGATCATCCAGTCTGTGAACAGAAACTTGGATGCAGGAAATTGCTCTGTAATTTCATTTCAAATTAGCTGCCTTAATTTAATCTTCTCGTGAACCTAAGTCATTGTTATTAAATAAATAAATCCAAATCACTAGGGCTACTCAACATGCAACAGACTGCATGAAGTGTGTATGAGAAGCAGTACAATTGGAAATCAATGCTTATAATCAAGAACCTTACTTGAAACCACCATTTGTTCCTTTTTGTCTTTTTGTATATGCCATCTTAATCGGTATGGCATGTCTATTCTGATTATACCTTGTGTTCATCCCTGATGGCTGCTTCTCTTTTGGTTCAGCCTGGAGTCCAACAAGTGATTCTGTTTTACTTCATAGAGCTTGTATTTTGAGTCCTGTCATACCAGGCACAACCTTGAACTATGGTAAAATCCTTCCAGACACTTTTATAACCTTCAATAACAAGTAACAGACAGAAATTTGGTTTAATTTCTATCATTAAAAAAAAAAAGAAATTGAAATCAAAGTGGTCAACAATAGGGAAATGGTTTAAAAAAAAAATCTTTGGAGGTGCCTGGTTGGCTCAGTCAGTTAAATAAACTAACTCTTGATTTTAGCTCCGGCCTTGATCTCAGGGCCATGAGTTCAAGCCCCACATTTTGGGAAAAAAAAAAAAAAAAAATCTTTGTAGATTCATACAATGTAACATTATACAGTCACCAAAATATTACATTTTTAAGAATTTTAAATGATATAGTTCTTTCAGGAGACAAGCTATGAGTGATATCTTTATTTTCATTTCATTTCTGTATGATTTTTTTTTCTGATTTTTTTTGCAACTTTTCTGAAATCAAGACAACCTATTATAAAAAGAGGAGAATTAAGATACTTAAAAATTGGAATATATATTAATAAGGATTCATGAAAAATGGCAAATCATGCATAAACAATTATTCAATAACATTTAATGTGTACTTTCTTTGATTTTACAAAAAAGCATTTATAGTCAAGAAAATGAATGACAAAGCCATTCTAATTTGCATTCCCAAATGCATTCCCTGAACAGATGAGTAAGGTATTTCTGGCAATTTCATAGCAGTTCATGTAAGGCCTGGAAAATTCTTTCATGTAGAGCTTCCAATTCTGGACTTGCAAACCTTCAGTGTGGATAGTAAGAATGGCAAAGATCACATCTATTACATCTCAAACAGGAAGCGAAATGTAAGAATTCTATCTTATTATTTGTTCTTTGGTTCAAATAATTGATAAAAGACCCTGCAATTGGTCCATGTGGTTGATTATGTTGTGGTCATAAATATGATCACCACCTGTTTTGCAAAACAGTAAGCAGTAAATATAATAATTCTATGGATGTGATTCTAAAAATAGTTTATACCTACACGAATCTTTTTGGAAAATTTTACCAAATAGAATCAACTTCAGTGCTTTTCTGAACCAAGGATAGAAAAAAGCATAAACCATTGGATTGAACGTAGAGTTCAAGTACCCAAACCAAATCAATGCATCATTCAATGTGGGTGGAATGCTATAGTCCAGGAAAGGATCCATGACCATGCAGACAAAGAAAGGACACCAGCATATTAGGAAAACTCCCATCACAATCCCTAAAGTCTTTGCAGCTTTCCTTTCTTTGCTTTGTAACATTCCATTTTTTTCTTCCAATCCAATTTGAAACTTCTGATTTGCATCATGAATTGATTTTGCCTGTCTCTGAGCTATGAAATATATTCTGGAATAGACACACAACATAATAGATCCAGGTATATAGAAAGAAGTCATAAAGGCCAGTACCCCAGATGTTTTGCTAAAGAAGACGGAGCAACCCCCTATGCAGTGAATGTATTTATAATACATCTCTTCAGCTCCTTTGAAGTTTAGCTCCAGAAAAATCATTCCAAATGCAAAAAGAGCAGGAACACTCCAACTAATGAAGATCATCGCAAAGATAACCAAGATACTGATTTTGGCTTTGTATCTCAATGGATCACACACAGCATAGTAGCGGTCAATGGAAATGAAGGACAAGTGGAAAATGGATGCTGAGCTCAGCATAATGTCAGTGCTGGTGTGAATTTTACAGAAGACTTCTCCAAAGTACCAGCCATGCTCAACAGATCTGACCATGCTATAGGGCATGACCAGGCACCCCAGCAGAAAGTCCACAGTGGCCATGGAATGAATGAGCCAATTAGTTGAGGTATGAAGTTGCTTGAAGTGTGATATGGAAATAATGACTATCAGATTGCCAATGAGTGTGGTCAGAATTATGAGCACCATTAAACTATACAGGGAAGCACGGACATCATTCGACCTGCTGCTTTTCACACAGGAAATATTAATTATATTGTGGCAAAAAGACATTGTTCCTGAGGGTTTTCTACCAGTTTATTTCTTCCTTTGTGCATTGAGGAATCTTTCTTTGAAATCCATAATCAGGTTTGGATTCCTTCTTTTACTTCTATATACCTATTCCAGAAATCTGGGAGGAAAAAAAAAAGAGAGGGAGAGAATCATTGAAAATTTGATTCTTTTCACTTCTAGCATACTCACTATTACTTCTTGCTGAAAAATCGTTATTTTAGAAAGAGCTTTTATTCCTAAGTTTAGTTCCATAGGTCAGTTCAATAACTTTAACATCTCCTCGTTGGATAATGGTGCTAGAAATGAAAAGTCGAATTATTAGATTGAAATACATGAAACTGACACTTTTTTTTGGTTAGAGAAGGTCAAATGATGAATTTTTCATATGCTTCAATCTATGGAAATAGTCTTTGTTCAAAAGAAAGTCTTGTGGAGAAAGTTTATATTCTACAGGGTACATATAAATTGCCAGAAATTTTAGAATTCAAATATGTTCCAGAGGAAAAGTGAATTTTTTTTTATAAACATATAATATATTTTTATCCCCAGGGGTACAGGTCTGTGAATCGCCAGGTTTACACACTTCACAGCACTCACCATAGCACATACCCTCCCCAATGTCCATAACCCCACCCCCCCTCCCAACCCCCTTCCCCCCATCAACCCTCAGTTTGTTTTGTGAGATTAAGAGTCACTTATGGTTTGTCTCCCTCCCAATTCCATCTTGTTTCATTTACTCTTCTCCTACCCCCTTAACCCCCCATGTTGCATCTCCTCTCCCTCATATCAGGGAGATCATATGATAGTTGTCTTTCTCCGATTGACTTATTTCGCTAAGCATGATACCCTCTAGTTCCATCCACCGAAAAGTGAAATATTTTAAATGCATCTCTTGTACACAATAATATCTGCTAGTGTATGCTTTTGTACTTGATAAAATATAAGATATTTCTTATTTTCTAGTTAACTGTAATGGAAAGAAGCTTATATACATTTACTTCTGGTTTGCAAAGCACTTATACATATATTCCAAGCATTACTTCATTTAACCTTTTTTTCATCTACAAAGTAAACATTATTGCTTATAAGAAAGATATGACATGTTTTGTTAATGTAATTATACTGGCAAGAATTTGAGCTTTCGTTCATGAAACCACTGAAAGTAGAATATGACCTGAGGTCTCATTAACTAGTATAGTTTCTTTTTTGTTAATCCACATTTTCTTTCCGTGGCAGAAAGGATCAAGTCTTCTTTCCATTCTTTTTTATTAATCCACATTTTTTCCCACAGCAGAAAGGATCAATTCAGATAAATTATTTTCATTAAACTTTGAACTTTCATATAAGAACAAAAAATCTCTTGAAAAGTGATATCTATTAATGAAGTGTGATATTATGGTCTCAGTTTTTAAGGATTTTAAATACACAGACCAAAGTCTGTGGTAAAGACATGATGTGGCACAAGGAAAAGATGGCTGAGGTCAGAACCCAGGGAACCTGAGCTTCAGTGTGTGCTGTGGGCATGGCACTGGAGCTCTTTTTTTTTTTTCTTTCTTAAAGCTCTGAAGCCCATTAATTTTTTTTTTTTTCATTCATTCCCAATTTTAAAACCAAAGTAAAATCTGGTTAAAACAGAGATGGCACCTTCTTCCTCCTCATGCCCATTAAGGAACCCAAGGCTCCATGAGAGCTAGTTTAAAAATATCCTCTTTGGGGGTGCCTGGGTGACATAGTCAGTTAAGCGTGAGCCTCTTGATTTAGGCTCAGGTCAGGATCTCAGGATCATGAGTTTGAAACCCTTTCCCCCAACCCAAGTCTGTTTCTCTCCTTCTCCCTCTTCCTTTGTCCCTCCCTCCACTGGAGTATACACTCTCTTTCTTTGTCTCTCTAAAAATAAATAAATAAATCTTTTTAAAAAATCCCCTTTGTTTCTATATGATTCTGTAATTCTCAACTAAATTCTGGAATTTTCAATATATTTTGAAATATATATATGTATATGTGTATATATATATGGTATGTATAAATATATATGTATGTATAAGTGTATATGAAGAGAAGGAGAGAGAATTTGGAAAAAGAATGGGAATTTCTGGCACTCAATAAACAACCTGCACTGTGTTGAAATGCTAGAAAAGAGCAACAAGTCTTAGAATATTCTCAGAGTCTGCCTTCCTTTTCATTTCCTCTCATTGCCTCTGAGCTGACAGTTTAGATCAAGACTACATAAAAATTTAATGTACCCATAACTGGAACTGGAGGACTAAAAATAAATAAAATATCTAGCTATGAAAATGCATATTTTAATAAATTTAAAACACCTCTTCTCCAATCCCTTCAAATACGTAGTACTCTTCCATAAAAACAATAAATTCCTCAAAAAGAATTATTTTTAATTTCACATCTTCAGAAGATCCCCTTTTACTTCCACTTTATGAGAAAGGAAAACAAAACAAAACCTCTTTTTGAAAGTCATTTACACTCTTTGTCTTTCATTCATCTACTAGCCTTTTGAATACACTCTAGCTCTAACAGATTTTTGTCAACACTCTACCAAAACAGTTTTTTTTTTCAGCTAAGACAGTAGAAGAGATGGTTTATTGTACATGTGTTACATTCAGGCACAAATGAAAAGAGGATTTATCCAGAAAGTCACAGGTCCAGGGCAAAGAACCAAAAGGGACTGTTTTGGTACGAGTGACATGTGTCTCTCAAAGGTGGTCATTGTGATCAGATGGCAATGGATGATCTGAATCCACTGAATCAAGTTCTAGACAATAGGCATGCAGTCCACAAATTGGTACCAGTGTCACTGGCTTCTGGCTTTCTTTATTTCTGCTCCTGTGGCTTCCACAGGTGTACAAGCCAGAGCTTTACTTGGTCCTCTGGTCCATCTTCCTTCTTCTACCCTTCAACCTGTGCTTGTGCTGCTTCCTCTGTTTGGCTTTCATGGTGCAGAGGTTTCCAAGAAAATGGCACTAAGGCCAAGAGCCCCAAACCGTCTTTTAATCTTGTCCTAGGTTACTAACCCCAGTGCTAAATTCTCAGGCTTCTCCTTGCTTGACCCCCTAGATGCTTCTTGAAACAATCCCTTCCATTTGCAGCTCTGAATTCAATGGTTACTCTTTCCAGCTTCCATTGCCAGTTCTTCAACTCACTTGCCCTGAGGCTAGTCCTTGGTTCTCTTCTCTACTGAGGTCTGCTCCCTAGGTGATTTCTTACAGTCTTCTGGCCTTAAACTAATCTATATGCTGAGGAGTCTCAAATAAATAACTCCAGCCATGACCTCCCCCAACCCCATACTCTGGACAAACATTTCCTGCTGTCTAGAGAATATCACCATTTACTATATCTAAAGCCTCCAGTCTTCTCCACAATGTGTGCCCAGCTCCTTTTCCTTTCCACACATCTCAAAAAATGGCAACTTCGTTCTTGCAAATCCTCGGTCCTAAACCTTGAAGTAGTTATTGACTCTCTCTCTCACACTCAATAATATAGCTAATCCATCAGTAAGTATCTTGACACTTCATTGAAAATATATCCATAATTGGACCAGTTCTCATGGTCCCAGCCACTAACCACTGTCAAATTAGTAGCCTCTCAACTGGTTTCCCTGATTCTTTTCTTTTTTCCCTGCCTTTCTAGTTTAATTCTAGAGTCTTGACTTGAGCACCTAGCTACAAAGCCAAGGAGAGGATTGGTTCCCTCCTCACCATTCTTTCAGAAAAGGTAAAGAATATGAATCCATTCTGTGGACAGTGTGGAAAGTGTTCCACAGACAATGCTAAGTAGAGGAGAAACTCATTCCGTTTGCCATCAGCTGTAATAATTAGTTATAAAGTCAAGGAAGGGGACCCATAGGGCTCCTTGAAAAAGTAATCATGGAGCACAGAGGAGAAAGTCATAGGTTTTTGTTTTTGTTTTTGTTTTTTTTTAAAGAAAAATTGCCTTCTATTGATACATCATTTTCAGATTACTGATACAAACTGGTCAGAGAATAATTATGTATTTTGCCCAACATCAAACTGCAAAAAGTTTCCAAACAGAGATGCATTTTGTGTTCAAGTTCCAAAAATAAATAAAGGCTTTCTATCTGAAAACATTCCTAGCCCTCTAAAGTAAACATTAAGAAACAAGTACAAAAAAATGACCTCCTGGCTTCTGAAGAGTCCACTTAGTTACATGAAGTATTCTCTTTCACAACACTTTTTCAGATTCAAAACATATTTACTTCCTAAGAACTTGAGGATCTTCATTTCAAACCCTTCGGTCCGTTTCCATGGCAACAGTGCAGTGTTCCTTGGTTCCCAGAAGTTGCATTAGTAGACTGTGGAATTTCTCAATCTTTTGTACGACTCGGGCTTGGTCTGTTCTTTGCACCAAACAAACTAAATCACCTGTTAACTTTAACACACGAACTCCCCCATCAGAATGCCAGTTTTTGAGAACCACACACGCCTTCGTAGGGCCAGCAAGGTAGTTTCTTAGCACTGTTGAACACCTCCCAGGCCTGGTACTTTGGTGTCCAGCACCTACAGTGGAGCTCCAGAGAAGGCGAGGTTGGGGACATGGGGCGCCACCGGGCCCACCTCCAAAGTCATAACTTTTAAAACAGCAATCACGGCTGCCCACGTGACAGAACCAGGGAGAGGCAGAAGCCACACAAGCCTAGATGAGGAATTTCTCAGCATGTCACAACCCTACCGGAGAAAGTCAGCTGAGCTCCAAAGTACATTTAGGGAGACATCAAGAACTTCCACCCCTTAACCCAAGGAAACTGGCAGTTATTCAAGGTAAACAACAGTAGAATGGCCTGGAGCCGCAAGCGTTTAGAACCTCCTGGCATGTCCTTACCCAAACACACAAAGCCAGATAGAAATGCAAAAGCAGTTTCCTAGCAGGAAACAGAGCGGTTAAATTCCTGGGGAATTCAAGCCCAAGACCACTTGATACCTTAAAGGAATCTAAGAATAAACAACTGTCCTTGATCCAGGTAGAAG